TCGTCCTTAAAATATGTGGGTAGTGTTGGAAAACTTAAGAAAATGTTATATAGGTGTGCAAGTGGGTGAAGCCCAAGTAAACTATGTTTTCTATCCCTGGGTAAAAATATCTAAACATATGTACAGATAAATATTACAGTTCTTTTATTTTTCTTGAGTTACATTTAAGAAAATGTTGCCATCAGTGATGGTATTATCAGACATCAATGGAGCAGGTTTTCCCATACTGTAAGGACATCAGTGAAGTGAGGTGATGGGTTAATGTCTGAATCCTAAACCTAGTATGACACTTAAAATTTCAATAGTTGTTTAACTTATGGATATCAGGAGTCAATCAAAATATAGTTTTCATAATTTCCATGAACACAGAGAATGTTTACATAAGAAGAAATTAGGTAGCATTTAAAAATCATCATGGCTAGAAGGTAGACAGCAAATTTGTTTATTTGAAATCAGAAAAGTTAGAACTTAATATTCATAATATTCTGGTATTATCAGCTGTTTTAAATTAAACACATGGAAAATAAAAATATGTTCTATTTTGCAACAGTTTATATTTAAGTTAATTCTCCTTGTGTCAGATATTTTTCCTATGTCATAAAAACCCTTAGTGTCAGATATATAGTTCACACTTAGCTGCTCTTGAATCTCCAAAAGCGAACTTGTACAACCTCATATAAAAATAAAATATACTGTATACAGCCTTGCTTTTTCTTCAGACTTAAAATCCATCCTAGTAGTTGCATGAGTAGAACAATGAAGGGGTTGAGCTATAACTTAGTCAACTTAGCTATTGAATTTCTCATTTCTCCTTGAGAAAGGTAGACCTTTAATAACCCACTCCACCCTCACTTCACGAGACAAGAGAAGAAGTTCTGTGCACTGAGAATTGGATCTTTTGAAGATGAGGAATTGCCAGGAATGATTAGTTCCTTCTCCTTATCTTACTAGCTCCCTTAGAGTGGAATGAATAAGGATATAAAGAGAATGGCCAAAGTGATGCCTTTAGTTTATTTTCTCATCCATCAGCAGTCATAGGCATTCTTCTCTTATGGGAAAATACTAGAGCTAGAAGAAATGTTTTTTTGAATAGTCTCATAAAATGTGTGCCTTTAGTTTTCACTAAGGATCTGATTTTCCCCTTTTAGTGGCTTTTTGTTTTTACCTTCATACCTTATAATCACTTTTCACTTTGTCTTCACTTCACACCATCCAATCCTCCAGCTTCAAGTGTCACCTTTCCCATGTTGCCATTCATGGTTATCTTAGCCATTGTTCATATTTATTTTTCCAAAACCAGTTTTTTTCTAGTTTTTTTTCACACTTTAGGCATGATTACAGTAGGACATGTAAAGATTACTTCCTTTTTTGTGGCAGTAAATAGCACAGTATAAAGTGAATATTAGGCCTCTGGTATACATTAACTAAATGAATTATTTTTAGCAAGACTCTCCAGAAAGTAAGGTCAATATATCATTTGAAGTCTAAGATGTTATTATTTGTTTAGTTATACCTTTGATTGAAACCCTATTTGAAGGGGAAAATAAACCCCATTAATGAACATAACGTTTCCCTAACCCAAAATGACACTTATACAAATGATTATATATTGTATTTTTTTGAATATCAATATAAATGTTTACCTATAAGTCTCTTTTTTACAATCAGAATAAAATTTTTCTGCGAATCACTTTTAACAATAAGCAGTTATGTACAAAATGACAATCATTGTTTTTTTTTCAAATATGTCACTATGGTGATAACTTTAACAAAATTTAGCATGTTATCTTGTGATTTTGAGGAACCTAACAAGTAATCAGCTCATATTCCCTATTTTATTATTCCTATTAACTAAATTAACTATGAATGGATGTTAAAAATTTCCTTTTGAAAATCAGTTCAAGGATTTGGGCAAATGTTTGATACATAATAGTTATTTTGATCTAGGACCTATTTGCAATATTTCCCAAATTCAAAACTACTATGACTTCTTCTGAGGTTTAGAAAAGTTTTTTGCCTTTAATTGCATTGTCTGGCATGTAAGAAACAAAGATATGTATACAAAATAATTTTATATTGATGCTAAAATTTAGGGTCATCTTTATGAAGACATTTAGAGATAATTAGTGATCCTAATATAAATTAAGAAGTTGGGACTTTGTGAGTTTTTTTTTTTTTTTTGCAAATACATCGACTGGAGTAACAAATCATTAGTGTGGTGTATAGGAAATAGAGAAAGCTCATTTACTGATATTTCCTTGACAAACTGTACTCATAAGGGTTTTAAAGATAAGGAATTACCTTCTCATTTTATCCACAGTGACTAGAACACTAACCAATATCTGTGATTGTAGAGCTTGGACATTAACCAAGGGAAAGGCAAATAATTGAAAAAGGCTGAAATCTAGTCCAGTTCTACTCAAAAGTAATGCTCTAGAGGGATTGGGTTCCCCCAAATGGGGCACTTTCCATAATCTTCCAAAATACATTGAGTAGTATCACTTATAACACTGCTACGAAATAGTAACTGGCATGTAATAGGGGTATAATAAACATTTATGATGGATATGTGAATACATTGCTTTTAGGAAATGATAAGCTTACTCAAGTGCAACAAATGACACCTACATTGCAGATAACTCTATTATAATGTATAAGTCTACTTGGGTTTAGTTGCCTCAGTTTCAGGTATTTTTATATTAGAAATAAAAATGCAAAAGCATAATATAGAGGGCTGGGGTTGTGGCTCAGTGGTAGAGTACTTGCCTAGCACATGTGAGGTGTTGGGTTCAATCCTCAGGACCTCATAAAAGTAAACAAATATAATAAAAGTATTGTGTCCATCTATAACTAAAAATGTTAAAAAGCAAAAATATACAATTGAAACAGTTATTCTTTCTTTATAAAAATTTTAATTGGATCCTTTTATCTCATGTATTCTTTCCAGCTTACCTGCTTATTGATGGAAAGGGCAAGAACAAAAATGAAAAAAAACAAAAACAAAAACTCAGTGATAGTGAGTGAACCAGATGGTTTGGAAGAATGATAGTGACAAGGAATATTTAGGTATATTTTAAAGATAGAAAAGCCATATTGGGAGCATCGAGGAATAAGAAATAAGATCTTGCTGGGTATGGTGGCCTATGATTGTAATTCCAGCAACTCAGAATGCTGAGGCAGAACAATGACAAGTTCAAAGCCAGCCTCAGCAACTTAGTGAGTCTCTAAGGAACTCAGCAAGACCCTGTCTCTAAATAAAATATAAAAAAGAGCAGGGGGTGTGGCTCAATAATCATGTATCCCCGGGTTCAATCCACAGTACCAAAATAAATAAATGAATAAAATAAAATAAGATCTAGACTTGTCTGTGTCAGAGATCACCTCTTTCATATGGACTACTTCTATTGTGCATATATTTTACTTGCTTCTTTGCAGGTGGACTTTCTATGCTTTCCTATTATTGCTGCTCATCAGTGATTTTTGTCCTGTTTTGACTTTGGCTTTCTGTGATAAAGATATCAGCTTCATTTGCAAATGGCTTTCCCACTTACTTTCTAATTGTAGTAGCTGTGTCTCTCAGTTAACCTTTTTTGAGAAAAAAATCTAATGTGTGCTGGCTTACCTCCCTGTGAATGTTCAACACCTCACTGTCTAGGTAGACAAGGGGAAAAACTGAAGACAGAGACAGGGAAGCTCATGGTGGTCAGTCATTCCTCATTTCAAGAAAGGGGCTGTAGGGGCTCAGGATGTGGCTCAAGTGGTAGTGTGCTTGCCTGGCATGCATGAGGCACTGGGTTTGATCCTCAGCACTACATAAAAATAAAATAAAGATATTGTGTCCACTTAAAAAAAAAGCTAAAAAATAAATATTATAAAAAAAGAGAAAGGGGCTATAAGTTGTTCAGGCAGAAAATATCTGCCCTTGGATCCAGTTTTCTAACAACTCTTTGTGTATTTTTTCATATTAAATATGATTCTTAGGGTTAGAGTTTTGGCTCAGTGGTAGAGTACTCACCTAGCACATGCAGGGCTTTGAGTTCGATCCTCAGCATCACATAAAAATAAAATAAAGGTATTGTGTCCAAGTATATCTAAAACAATTTTTTTAAAAATGTGATTGTTCTCAAGTTTTGTAAATCAAGTCTTAGGAATGTTAGTGCTTTATTTAGGGCTTTTATCTAGGATATACAGGTATAACTGAGGTTTGTGAAGTTGTTTTGGAAAAAAATTACATCTTGAAATTAAGTATTTTTCTATTATAAATGTGAGTGACAGTCCTCAGTAATAGCAATACTTCTGACTTTATCACCAACAGAAATGACAATTACATATCATGTCTCTGTATATACTGTATATACTTAAAAATACCATTTATGCTTATTACTGCTCTGAAGACATCCTAAAAATCAGTATGGTAGGCCTTGTTAGTTAGGAGAGAAAACATGTACTACATATTACAAAATTAATAAAATATTGCATATGCTATGTTTCAGCATAATTGATTTGATTTAAGATCCTGTTAATTTTATTCCTTTAAAAGCATTAGTATTAGAAGGGGTTTAATCACCATATGGCAAACAGGTTAGTGGTACCAAAAAGCTGAACCTCCTTGCTGCAGAAATGCAATAGCACCATACCTGTTGAATTTTTTCAAAGCAGATCATTATTTGTGGATGTTTCTTCAAGTGACTATTTGTATTCATTACATGTACAAATTAAATAAAATATATTTAATTAGATGCTGTGTATGTTAATTAAATATATATTCATGAATAAATAAGAAATTAATGATGTTTATATATAAATATTTTTCCTGTATCGCTAATAATGAAATTGCAATCAATGTATATGATGTGACTTCATGCTTCATAAGCATATTTGTTGTAGGTTTAAAAATTTACAAGGTTTAAGCATAGAAACTATACACACATTCCCATCACAAGTATGCAATGCTAATGTCATCATATGTTACTTAAAGCTCAGTGCTGTCCTTTTCACAGGCTACTCAGAAAGAGATTGAAAAGCAAAAGCTGCATTTGAAGAGTGTCACAGAACTAGGAGAGGCTTTGAAAACGGTGTTGGGCAAGAAGGAGACCTTGGTAGAAGATAAACTGAGTCTTCTGAATAGTAACTGGATAGCTGTCACTTCCCGAGCAGAAGAGTGGTTAAATCTTTTGTTGGTAAGAGACTGGAAGCTTCTCCACCCATCTCTAACATGAGAAAAAGATTATGCAAGCATTAAGTAATAATATTTGAAGACTCCACCTCTCCACAGTCATACTGGCTCCTAAATTTATATCTGTAGATCTCTATAACCACATTTTAACATATTTTTGTCTGTCTATGCTATATTCTTATGGAGATCTCACTTAAAATTAATTTGAGGGATACTATATTTTTATCTTTTTAGAATTATAGAAAGAAAGTAGGACACATTATTTAAGAATATTGTTTAATCAAATAACGTAATAATCTATCTTTGTACAATTAAGGAATACCAGAAACACATGGAAACCTTTAACCAGAACGTCGATCAGATTACAAAGTGGATTATTCAGGCTGATATACTTTTGGATGAATCTGAGAAAAAGAAACCCCAGCAAAAAGAAGACATACTTAAGGTAGCAAATAAAATATTGTGAAAAGTAATTTTCAAACTGCACAACAGTTATGTCAATTATGTTTGTCCTAGAAGATACCAAGGACTTAGTAAGAGTGAAACAATCTTTCTTTCCTTCCTTCTTTCCTTCCTTCCTTTCTACATTCTTCTGTGAATGGGAATTAATGACATTGAAAAGCTCTGTAATCTGGATATATGTCCAAATTCATCTCTTATCTAATCACACCCAGTGTAAACTCTGGTTAGAAAAAAAATTCCATGATCTATTTTGTTACTGTATTGCAAGTTCTTGTCTATTTTAATGGTAGTGCTATTATATTTTTGCATCTAACACAAAACACAGTTTCTCTTCATTATTTGTAGAACCCATCTTAGTAAACACCTAAAATGCAATCATTAGGATATTTTACCTATGCTAAATCCCAATCTTTGTACAGGCTGAGCATCCCTGATTCAAATATCAAAATTCAAATTGCTCCAAAATCCAAAACTTTTGTGTACCATCATGATGTTACAAGTAGAAAATCCCACACCATGAAACTGTCTCAAGAACAAAAGTATTTTAAAATTATTATATACAGTTGTATTCAGGTTAGGTGTATAGATGTACATGAAACAAATGAATTTTGTGTTTAGACTTGGGTCCCATCTGCAAGATAGCTTATTATATGAATGCAAATATTTCAAAATTCAAAAAATATTTCACAAAATCTACTACATTTCTAGTCCCTAGTACTTTGGGTAAGGAATATTCAACCTCAAATTATTCATAATCTGGGCTAGATAAAACTGAACTTTTCATTTTTTAATCCCATGAAAAGTGATCATAGCTTCAGCTCCCTCTGTTTTTGAAATACTTATTAGGGAATCCTAATTCTTATTTTTCAAGGATAACAATCTGTCTTCTAAAAAAATATTCCTATAAAAGGGTATGAGAGGTATAATGTACAAATATATCTCATTGATACTACATTGACTTTGCTGGATGCTATCCCCTTTCTTAATTAAATAGGAAGAATTGAATTTTAAAGCTCATATACATTAATAATTCTTAATTGAGTTTTGCTGAGCTCTTCAATAATATTAGGTGCCTAGTGAGTTGCTACTTAAAGAATGCTCATAAAAACCAAAGGCCAAATGTTCTCTCTGATATGCAAATGCTAACACACAATAAGGGGGGATAGAAGTTCAATGTATTAGACAAAGGGGAATGAAGGAAAAGGAGGGGAAATGGGAATTGGGAAGACATTAGAATGAATCATGAATCTGACATAACTTTCCATTGTTCATATATGAATACACCACCAGTGAAACTCCACATCATGTACAACTGCAAGAATGGGGTTTTAATTAGAATACTAAGTCATACTCCATGTATGTATAATATGTCAAAATACACTCTACTGTCACGTATATCTAAAGAGAGCAAAAAGCAGCCACTCATGATTTATTTCTCTGCACTTCATTGTTTTTTTTTTCTTTTTATACCATGGATATTTCCCACAGTTTATGATTCCATTTTAATGAAAAACTCTAAATGCATTTTAGGCTATCTCCAAAACATATTTACCCTATTGTTTGGAAGTAATTTTGATATATTTTCCATTCTTTCTGGAAATGCAATCAAAGATGTCACCTTATGATGAAATCTTTGAGATAATAAGAATGGTATTTATAAACTTACAGTATCTGTGATCCCTTGGGTTAGGCAGAAAATTCTTCAATACCTCTGTATGTAACACAGAATCCGTGTGTTAGAAAATCAGTTTTTTCACTGATAGTCTATATAATAAACCAAGAGGAACTCCAAATGAGTAGGAAGGAATAGAAAAGTGTGCTTCCCTGGTAAGTACATATTTAGGTTATTCTACAAATATTAAATTTAGTCAAGATAAAGTAAGACTAAATATAAAATAATATCATTTTTGTGGACAACATAAAGTCAGAAAATAGGGTTTGTCCATCTCAGGATAAGTAAAGTTTAAATTTACACTCATCATACTTAATCAAAGATAGGGACCTGTTTTTCATATCATACATGTTGATCACTCTACTTTTTATGGAATTTGGCTTTTCCCCTGCCTTTTCATTCTTTTGTTTGCCTGCCCCTCCCTCCCTCCCTCCCCCCCCCTCTCTCTCTCTCTCTCTCTCTCTCTCTCTCTCTCTCTCTCTCTCCTTCCATTACTAACTTTAAGCCCTATTTCTTGCTCATGGAATATAGCGTTTAAAGGCTGAAATGAATGACATGCGCCCAAAGGTGGACTCCACACGTGATCAAGCAGCGAACTTGATGGCAAACCGCGGTGACCACTGCAGGAAAATAGTAGAACCTAAAATCTCAGAGCTCAACCATCGATTTGCAGCCATTTCTCACAGAATTAAGACTGGAAAGGTAGGAAGATCTACTCCAAGGTGGAAAGTAGTGCTAAATGATCTCTTGCGAAGGTTGCGCAGTGCCCTGAAGGGGGCAAGCAACCCCCACAGCAAAGTTTTCAAAAGGAAAATGAAGGCCAAATTGCACTTAAGGAAATTTTACCACTGACTTTCATGAGAGATAAATCAATCTCCTCACCCCCTTCTCTCTCTCTCTCTCTCATACTTCTTTGCTGCCACAGCTATTTTAGAACTGCATTCTGCACTGGTTTACATATGTACTTTCAGGGGTCACCTACAGCAAAGTAGCAAATAGCATGCTGCAGGCAAAAATAAAAAAAATACAAAAGCACAAAAGACTAAGAACACATTACTGATATTGATATATTTGATAAATATAATATTGCTTGTGTGTAATATAGATTGAATATCCAAAATGAGGCCTTGTACATTTCCTGCATGATATAGGGTTTTTGTACTTCTTATTGTGCACATGTGTGTATTAATGTGTTCTTGCTAGTTGCAAACACTGTGACAAAATACATTAGGCTATAATGAAATGCTCAAGCCATGAAAACAAATAGTTGCAAAGCTTATATATCCTAATTTTTGTAATTTTATATGTTTATATTCTATTTAATGAAAGACTAGGGGATATGGTACTTTTGCATGAAAACCTTTATATTTGTGTAACATTTAATGAAGATAAAATCTTATGTTATGCAGAAATATATGAATATAGCATAGAATTTCAACTCCTTGAGGAATATTTCAAATGCAAGGAATTCCTGCAAAATTGATATAACGCAGTTTGACACATTTTCAATATAGTATACAATTGCTTTCAAATATAAAAATATGTATGAAAATATATGTATTTAGACACACAGATAATTGCTGGGGGTTTAAGTGAGAAAAACCTTATTGAAATATTGTGAGAAAATATGATACAAAATGTCAGGTAAGTATTGATTCCTAGACAAATAGGAGAATGTGTTCAAAAAATTATTTTTGAAATTATGGACACCTATTAAAGTCCGGTTTCACAATTGCTACAGTACCTAGGGCATTATAGTAAGTTATCATGTTATATATAATATATATTTGAAGTAGGTTTCAAAATATATGAAATCTGATATGAAGAATTCTAAATAGTTTATGCACGAGATAAAGTTATCATCAAAACTCACCTTGCCAAGTATATATATATATATATATATATATATATATATATATATTCATTATCACTTGCAAGAAAATCTGACAGATTCTGAAATTTTATTTTCAGTGTATACTTAGTTCTTTAAGAATTTACTTTGATACTTAAATAGACTATTGCTTTTACTTCTAGAGACAGCAATGGCTTAAGTAATACCTCAGTAACCAAGAGACTTTTATTTCAATCATCTAAAAATATTAATGCTTCAATACTAAGTTTTATTTTCTTCCCATCATATATATACAATTTCAATAAATTATGACATTCTAGAATATTTAATAGAAAATGATTTTATTTTGAGATAAATTATGTTAGAAGATTATGATTTCCAGACACTATTGAAAAATGGAGCAAACTCATCCTCCACCATAAATGACAAATATAGCTTAGGCAAGTTTGTAAATGATACAAATTCATGAGTGTTTATACTGTTTTGCAAAAATTTGTATTAGTTCTGAAAATCATGAATTAGATAAGCCACTCAGTGTGCTTCTTTTATTTTTATTTTTCAGGGTAAGATATAGATATTTCAAATCAGTATTTTCAATTGTATATTAATTTTCAAAATAATCCCATACTTGCTTGCAAAATATTCCTTTTTCTCTGAATTAGTAAAGATAGCTTGGTGCAACAGTAATCCCATATTGACAATCTAACCAGATAATTATGCTCTACCATCAGGATGGAAAGAAAAACCACAGATAAAACAAATTTAATACTTTGCTTATTTATTCATTGCATCAACAGATGATATAGAACTTCCACTAGAGAGTGTGCATAGATATGAGAATATAAAGATACTTGCTTAAGAATTATCCTGCTTACAAACACAAAAAATAAATACTTATCATAGTCCCAAAATGTTTAATACTAATGGAACTTCATGGAGATGTTCAAATACTGCTGAGGTAATCCTAGCAGAAAGATTGAGCAGTGGACTTAAAAGACGCAACTCTATAGCTGAATTTGTCAGCAACAGAGAAAACATGAAATTTTTCGAAGTATCTGTTTGAGTATTTGTATGATAAGGGAGTTACATTGGATTAATAGTTTTTAAAAGAAAAACTAGCCTTATCTCTGAAAAGTTACTCCAAATGAAATGTGTAAAATGGAAAATAGCAATAGTGCAATTACTTGTTGGGGATATTTCATTTTCTCTTTTCTGTGCCTAACTTCAGAAACTACACGTTATGCCCATAGAATATGCCGTCAAATTTCTAGCCTACTCAGAAGTCACTGCTAGTTCTAAATTTGACAGTTCAATACTCTTCTGTTGATGCAAAAACACATTTAAGATAGTTGATGGCTTATGTGTGTATATATTGAGTAGGGAAATTCTGAAAGTGCCAAAAATCATAAGGATGGCTTTTCATCTCAAAATTTGGCTCCTTTATAATAGGGTTTATGAAGGATATGGTTAGGTAGGACTATGACTTTACTATGGTTGAATCTTTGGCTTGATTTTGCAGAGGAGAATAACCTGGGGGAAAACCTATGGTGATAAAATAAATAAAAATAGTTTGGTACTGAATATGGGTCAATTATAAACTCAGTGTAAGAACAAATTTCATGATAATCTTTTAAAGGTCAACTATAAATGGTAACTGAGTGAATTTTTTTCCTGAAAATTCAATGGTAGCTGCTACTATTGCTACTTGGTGAAGAATGCAAAGTTGAGTACTCCTGTGTCTCCTATGAGGACTGTCCATGGAAGAAATTCTAAAACACAGAAAGCATTAAGCACTGGAATCTTGCTTTCAGACTAAGAGCTTTTCTGTTCTAGTGCCTCTCTCTATAGTGGCAATTTTAGCCCTCAGTGAGAAGCAGTATGGTGAGAAGAAAAATTCTTAACTGGAAGCCACAAGATTGTTTTGAATAGTAGCTGAGAATATTTATATTTATATGATCTTGCATATTTCCCTTCTAACACTTAGAGCCCATTTCCATCTATAGAATTAGATAGATGGTATCTTATTTTAATCTCAAAATTGTAGTGAGGATCAAATGATGTTAGGTATATACAAACTCACACTTAGGAAATCTGTTGATTGTTATGCGAAGATGAACTGGTAAAATCTCATCAATATCAATAATCATTACCACAATTAGATATTATTAGACTTGAATGGCCAAATTTAGGATTGAGACAAATATCAATAGAAAAATGAAATGGAAGAATTGTTGACTACTTCTTCCATCCTTTGCTGGAATGAGCTGGAGCTAAAATAACATGTATCTTCTACTTAAATTATAAGGACTATCCTTAAAGATAATCAAGTGAAGCAACTTAAGAAGAACTAGCAAGTTCTACCTGTCCCTAATACAGTCCTTAAAATACATGAAATACTGCTTCATGTATCATTTAGATTAATTAAGTGTATTCAGTGGCTTTGAAATACCTTAATCTTTCCTAATATATTTGAAATCAGAGTAAGGAGATGGTAGTTTTAATGGAGAGGGTCAGAATTATAAAGAAGAATCAGGAACTATTTTAGAGTTCTAAGTAAAGTAGATGGCATCAAAGAAAAGATACACTTTGTCTCAATTCTGTTTTATGGCATCTGAGCATGGGTGTGGGGCTGGTGGAGAGGGATCCTATCAGGAAAACAAACTGTCAAGAAACAAAAGCATAGAAAAGAGGTGGAGAGGCAATAAACAGCATTGTTTTGTTGCCTATGGCACCTCTATTCTTCTATATCTTCCCAGAAACCAAGTTGAAGAAGGGGAGTTGGAAATTTGGGGGATATGATAGTTGAGGTGGATCTTAAAGAACTAAAGAAGCAAGAATTTGGAAAAGGGAGCAATCTGGATCAACCATGACCAACCATATGCTATTTTTAGGTCACAATATTTGGCACTGTCAGGACTCTTGCTAGGTAAGATGTGACAGATTTAAAGGGGTTTACTGTTTAATGGTGGAGCAAGATGTATTCCTGGATACTAGATTGGGAATGAGTAGAGCGAGTAGATGGAGAGTTCCATGTTCCAGCAACACAAAGAAGGAAAGAATTCTAGAAAGTCCTATGAAGAACCTCAAGAGTATAGTTTGTTCAATGGAGGTTCATTTTACTTATGGAATAAAGGGCATGTGGCCTAAAGCTTAAATGTGGATATGACTGAAGAGGATGGGTAGACACAGAGTGAAGAGGTCATGACAACAGACTAATAGATTATGCTTGGTTCAGTGGGCAATAAGGAATTTTTAATTTTTTCCCACGCACTGTTGAAAGATTAGTTTATGAGTACTTTGAGGAAAAATCACCTGAATGCGACAGAAAGTAGGAAAACTAGTTAGGAGGCCATTACAATAGTTTAGATGAGACGCAACAATCATCTCAATATTGGAGTAGCTTTGGGACTGGAAAAGAGTTGTCAGTGTAAATCGATGAATCTCAATCATTTTCATGTACTGGAAGATTGTTAAAACATAGATTACTGTGGCCTACACCTAGAGATTATGATACAGTGAAACTTGGGAGTAGCCTGAGCATTTGCATTCCTAGTAAGTTTCCAAGTGAGATTGATGAAAATGATCTGGAAACCTCGCTGAGAGAATGACTGATCTAGAGGCATTGAGAACTAGTTTAGAGTTCAATTATTACCTATGAGGGCCAAGAAGATGATGGAATAAGAATTGGTTTAGGATTCAAGTCTGATTGAGAAAGTCTACATAAAATTTCAGTAATCAAATGTGCATCAATACATATCTGCCATATTGTAATACTTATTTTCTAAAGAAATTTAATTCACCAGACTTCATCTAGCTATGCACTATAGATATAGGCAATCATTTTACTTTT